GTTCAAGAATTGTTACTGGGTGTAATGATACTGCATGAAGCATTAATTGTGCAGGGTTTAATTGTGCAATGTTCTTGATGAAGCTATTGTTCCATGACTTGATTGTGTTTTAGAAAACGAAAACTACAAAGGCATGGAAAAGATTTGGTTTTTGCCAGACGCAAAATGAGTGTAAACGGCTGAAAACAGGTGAGGATCAATACAATGATGACAATAAAACATAGCAGGTGTAGAGGATGTTTGGGGGGTAAAAAAATCTTCTAGGCGGGTAGATAAGTAAGTTTTATTCATTAAGATAAATAAGTTAGACTTATTTAATTATTGGTAAATATGAAATGTATTTCCCTCCAAATAAAGTATAGTCTAGAACAAACGATTTACTATTCAAATGTTGACCTTCAGTCGAACTCAAGGTCAGACGATAAGCAAGATTAGTTTCTGTTGAACTTTTTGCAGTCAAATCAATAATTATAGAATTACAACCAACTAGTGAATTTGAACATATAGATGACTATGTTGAAACTTTATTCGGGGATATTTAGAATTAGGGGAGGGGTTATGAAATATTTTCATTAACATAGTGGGGGAACGAAGATTTCTCCATATGTTTTTGGGAGGTACGTATGAGAATATTCACTTCAAATATAATTCATCCTCAACCCCACCCCCCCCCTTTAGTAATTAATTTATGATCGGTCCCTTATTTCATACTACTAGGCAAGGAACTTTTCGGAGAAAACAACAATTTTACAACTGAAAAAAATTATGATGAATATGCCGAACACCCTGAGGTAATCTGCTGTGGATTAAACCTAGCCCATCTTTGATTAGCATCTATATACTATATGAAAGAACTTAGATTTGTACTGTATGTTGATAAAATGCCCTCCATTCATCATTCAGATTTAACAACACTCGGTACAACTGTCGTCATCAATGGAAAACGAAATATTTATGCGCTTAATGAAGCTCCAATCTACAACGTGCAAACTTGGTAGGAGCGTATACGTATAATTGGCAATAGGCCACTTGCAACAATAGACAAACTTGTGAACTACTTTTCGTTGTGAATATTAATACGTTTTTTTTTGCCTTAGCGATAACCGGAAGCATTTTCCTTTTGACTCTGAACCGTTTCATTTCAATGGTAAGATCATCAAAATATTCCAGCATTGTGGCCTAAGATAAAGATACATCAATAAAAAAGGCTGCTACTTTTTTGTGTACCCAAGGATTCTCAATAACGCAGAGTGAAAGGCAAACTGAAACGTTTGCCCGAAGAAAAAAAGAGGTAACCATTGCGGCGCTATCAAAAAATTCTCGCCCATGAGGAAAAAAAGGAGCGCAACGACTGCAATTTTGGCTATCGATTTAACAACGCTCGATACAACAGTCGTCGTAGATGGAAAACGAAATATATATGCACCACTCATTTACATCGTGCGACTTGTTAGGAGTGAATAATTGATCATTTAAAACAAAGCACGATAATGAGTGATGAAACATGATCTGTGAAAAATTTATAAGGCCGTTATTTATGACGTGCGGATTAATTCTTTATTACAAATATTAAATATTTATTCTGATATTTTAAATATAGATTTGTTATTTCTAAAATTTACGCTAATATTTATAAAATATTTGCCAATCTGTCAAATACGTCCCCTATTTTTTAATGTATCCTAATTACAAATTTTTATATATGTCCTAATTGTGATTTAAAATATGTCCCAATTATAAATTCAAATATGTCCTAATGTTATGATTTTATTGAGTATTTGTAATTTGTCAGTTTCACGCGCCACTTTCCTGTTAAAATGTCAAACGGCTCAAACCTATCTAAAGCTTGTCGCACTGCCGCTGAGGCGCTGCAAATTCTGAGCAATGTAAATTCAACAGGAATTCTCGATCGTATCGAAACGAACAACCCCATTTCTGCATCCATTCCAAATAGAATGTCGAATGTTTTCGTTCCATCAACAAGCAACTCAAGTTTGGAGCAAGAGCTAGCGGAACGGTTCCCCACCGTAAACGCGACGAGATCACGAAAACGAAAGTCTAATTCACCCGCATTAACTTCACACCGGAACAACAAGAAAGCACAAAGAGGTCGACGGTGTAACGACGTTGTTTTTAAGGACCTTGTATTCATTCCGGATCCTAAAGAGACCGAAGTTCCGACGCACAAGAAGCGATTAGTGCTAGAAGAGCAAAATTTTGTCATTCACGAATTCCCGTTCAAAAGATCGTGGTCGGCCGAGACCCTAAAGGAGGAGGTTGGCAAAGTCTTGCCAAACGGGATAGAATTTGAATTTGTAAAGGTAATGACAAATAATTATGGCTTTTAATATTATGGTTAATTATAGACGTTTATAAAACGATAACAGCAATTTCACTCAATTGCAACGTATTTAAAGGAAATTAAGGTCTATATTCTGTATATACTGTAGTACCTGTAGCTAGAAGCTTAATTGGGGGGGGTGCATATTACTATGTTCATCTTATGCCGGAATGATTTCTTTTGTACGCTATTGTTCCTATGGTATATAAACATGGCTATATGAATATACACCCCCCAATTAAGCGGTCTAGCTACAGCTCAGAGTACACCCCTATTTATTATACATCCATAATAAAAGTCATATATTTAGATTTTAGCATCATATAGCTTGAGGTATGGAAAAACCTCAAGACTATGGATGATTCCATGAAATTGACAAATTGAACCACTGAGTACAGAGCACTGTAATCAATAGTGTGTATTTGATTGGCATGTTTACACATGATTATGTTTAGTCATGCTCAGTGTTGAGAATTACTAAATATAACTAATGAGTAATAAGAATCTGACCATTGTATTATACTAACAATGAATGTTTTCATGTGTGCAATGTTAGGAAAATTTTCATAAGGTGAAATGGAGAGTTCTATGTTCACCTAATTAAAATATTCTTATCATTGCACCTATAAAAACATTCATTACAATTTAATTTCACATGACACCAAAATGTACAAGCCCAGGGCCATCAGAGCAAAATTTAGGTGGGGAGCACCCTTGTCCACATTAGCTAAATTTCTGCCACTCTTGCAGGCTCATATTGTCAACAGACAACTTACAAAATTGAGACATCTTAATTAACAACAGATAATTAAACTACTAGTGAATGTTATATTTACGCAAGTATTCTTTTTATTAGGCTTGTTATGGTACTTTAGTCAAACCGAATTTGGCTAATGGAGTGGAGGTAACAACAAATGTATTAATTAAAATGGCTGGACAAGGGAATATTTATGTCAGAAGTATCACGGAAATGGATGACAGTGACAACGAAAATACAGATGAAATACTAATGCATCCCTCTTTTGCAACTACGTGCTGCATATCCACTGTTGCAACAGCATCTGGTGATGACAATGTGTCCATTGACACACCCAATCAAGGCTCAAGTGGTGATAGTGCTTCTTTGACACAAAGATCTAGTAACTGGGTTGATGATGATGTAGCAATCACTGAAAACTCTCTTGATAATGTACTAACATCAAATGAAGTCACCAGCTTCAATGACTCTGAGAGATTCCTAGAACATGATGCTCCAGCTGTTTCCCCCACTTGTGAAATAGTCCTTGATGACCGCCACTTTCCAGTGCCATTTGAGGATGACCCTATTTCCATCATTTCTGTTGAAGATCACCAAACACCAATGATGCCCCCACCTCACGATTCTGACCCATTCATTATAAAGGTTCATCGGACCATGATAAGAAAGGATTTAATCAAGATATTTTCTGATGATTCAGTGATGTCCCAGCCATTATTTGGCATAATAAATGCCAAAGGAGAGGAAGAAGTCGGTCGTGGAACTGGAGTGATGAGGGAAATATTTACACTGTTTTGGTCCGAATTTGCAGACTCGTCGTTGATTGGGGAGGAGGAGAGAGTGCCATTCATCAGACATGACTATAACAAGGAAACATGGCAAGCAATTGCAAGAATTTTGGTCAAAGGTTTTAAAGATTGTTCCTACTGTCCATTGCAGCTCAGCAGGGCTTTCATTGGCAGTGTATTTTTTGATGAAGCCTTTGTCACTGTTCCTATGTTGTTAACGTCATTTAAACGTTATGTTTCCAAGGATGAGGCAGGAATTGTGGAGCAGGCTTTATCAAAAGAGATCCCGCTAGATAGTAAAGAGTTAGAGGACTTCCTAAGCAATTTTGATTGCAGAAGAGTGGTAACTCTTGATAACATTTCTGACATTATCCAGGAGTTAGCCCATAAGGAACTAATTCAGAGACCAAAATACGTGTCAGATTGCTGGGCTGATATTGTTTCTCAGTTGAAGCTCTATTTTCCAACCATTGACGACCTGTGGAATTTTACAAAAGTCGTGAGCCGACAAATGCGAAAGTGGTCAACATGCTGCATGCAGATATCACAAACGATGCAGAGAGAGAAGCATTCAATCACCTAAAGAAATACGTCAGAGGACTGGAGAAAAGCAAATTATGCGCATTCTTGCGTTTTATTACAGCATCAGATATCCTTGTTACCGATGAAATTAAAGTCAGTTTCAGTAAAATTACTGGCGCTGCTCGTAGACCTGTCAGCCACACGTGTGGATGTACCCTTGAACTCCCAAGCACGTACGCAAATTTCTGTGAACTTCGAGAGGAGTTTAGTAGTATCCTTTCTGCGGATAGTTGGGAAATGAACATTGTTTAATTCATTTCGACTTTCTTAAAACTTTATGACATAACTTCGTAACAGAATATCGATCCTTGTTGAAATTTAACTTACAGTTTTGGTTTAAACATAATATTTGTTAAGGGGTTTTTGACAGTAAACAGTCATCTTTAATATGACAGGTACTGTATTGTTACTGTTAGGCATATAACTACACGTATAACCTTCATGTATGGTGGTGATATTAATATTTACTGATATGCATTTTAATAAAGAATATGTTGTGTATAAACGCTTTTCATTCAATACAATTAAGGGAGGCGCCCCTGCAATAAATACGTTCAATTGGTACTGCCCAGAAATGTTTGTAGTAGATTTAAAGATCTTAGATAATTAGAAGTTCCACCATTTCTGTCTTCTTGAAGAGGAGGACACTCCAAGTGCAACTGTTCAATCTGAAATGCTGTCAGTGTCACATTAAGTGCAGGAACAGCCACTTGGTAATCTTCGTCTTCGAGAGGTACCGCACCATCTCCATCAATCCCATAAAACACTAGTTCCTCAGGACGAAACATCTCTTCGGTTGCTGTATGGCCGGAATACATATTGTTGAGCATGCCAGCTGTATAAAGCTGCAATGGCGTGAGGTTTCTCTCGGTAGAAACAGAATGATTGTTCCATTGTTGTATAAATTCCATTAAAGACCGCCTTATTCGTGGTAGATAGACGTGGTGTAAAGCAAACAGGTTTACCTCATTCATTGGATCCAGAATTCCCATTTCTTCTAGATCGTTGAAATGTTTAGCATAGAAAGTTAAAACACCTGCATATACGTCCCTATGTATCCTTTCGACGCGGCAATTGTGGACAGAACTTCCCGTTATTATGCTTCCACGGGCTACGCCACGATTTCTTAACATGTATCGAGCGACTTCGATATTTTCCAGCCCATGATCGCTGCGTACTCTTGATGGTAAACCAAAAGTGGACACTCCGTGCATAAATTGTTCAAGGACGGTTTGAGCCTTGTTGTCCGTAGCACAATGTGCATAAATTAATAGCCTGGAATAACCGTCGATGCAACAGTGCACAACCAATCTGTAACGGATAAGCTTATGGTTGCCATCTATGTGCCAGAGTGAGTTTGGTGTTGGTACTGAATATTTGCGTCTATATATGATTCCACTCCAACGTAAAGACGTTCCAAGGGGATCTACTCTTCGTAAGCATTCGCGAACGCGGTTCCTTTGAATCTTTATTCCTCTTGCCCTTAATGCGCCCAATAATCTTCTCTGACCAATATTAGGAGTTAGACTTCTTATTTCTTCCACTTCTCTTTCCAGTCGCTCATCTGTTAAACAAAACAAGTTTCCATAGGAAAGTTGAACATCTAACCTAGTTACTTAGTTTACTCACAGTTAATGGAATATACATGGTTTCGAGACTAAATAAAAGTACAATACAACTCATTAACTATGTATTGTCCAACACTGTTAATAAGTTGTATTGTAGTTTTAGGTGGTCTCCAAACTATGTTTATTCTATCAACTGCAGTTTACTGAGCTAGGTAAGTGAGATTAATATTCCCAATTAATTACCCAATTAATTACCTGATATGGTCGTCCAAGAGTCATCTTCATCCGGTATATTTAATTCGTTTCGCTTGCGATTAAGAGTAGACACACTCACACCAAGCAAACTAGCTATTTTTGCCCAGGAAAAATGCAGTTCTCTCAAAAATAGAATTTGCTCACACTTTACTACAACAGCTGGGCGACCAGGACCTTTTGCCACTGATAAGGGTGCTGTGTAGCTAAAGTGAAGTTGACCTTCTTGTGAATCATCCACGTAATTTGTTAACATTCGACACAATGATCTTATTTTAGCCAACACTGCATCAATATCATTCTTGAAACTATTGAGAACAGCGTCATGAGCGTTTAATCCAGCATGTGTGGAAATTAGAACAAGAGTTGATGCACTCTCCTTTAGGTGTAAAAGCAGGTTTTCAATAACTTCAGTCGAACAATAGGTATCTTCTAAATTCTGAACACTGATTAAGAGGGAACGAATGGAATCCAGAAAAGTAGAAAGTCCTCGTTCATTTCGTTCTCTCGTTATTGTTCGAGGCATTCTTTACTACGCGCAAATTGTTAACAACCATAGAGAATGATGGGCAAATATTTAAATTCGCATTTAAATATAGGACATATTTGAATTTATAATTGGGACATATTTTAAATCACAATTAGGACATATATAAAAATTTGTAATTAGGATAAATTAAAAAATAGGGGACGTATTTGACAGATTGGCAAATATTTTATAAATATTAGCGTAAATTTTAGAAATAACAAATCTATATTTAAAATATCAGAATAAATATTTAATATTTGTAATAAAGAATTAATCCGCGCGTCATAGTTATTCATCATGCTTCAAAAGATTTGTGAAGAACTGCGAGGACAGATATAGTAGTTTTTCCAAAAAATCCTGGTTGTATATATATATATATATATATATATATATATATTAATATATATATATATATATATATATATATATATATTTCTTATCATATTTATACGTAATGTATTTATTTTATTTAAATTTATATTATTATTAGTTATTCTTATGTAGATAATCCTTAATTATTTGGTTATTTAATTACTTCTATTTCTTCGACATTTAAAATTAGCATAATATTAATTTTCGTATTGGTAAATGATATTTACACTGGCTACTTTTATGATTCTGTTCATGCAGCGTTTTTTTAATAAGCAGCCCAGTAGCATTGGGTGAGCATCGATAATTGAGGTTCACAACAACAAGTTAATATGCACGGTCTAATTGAATGCTGCACATCATAAAAACGTGGAAGTAAGTGACTGCATGTTTGCTTGACTGCATGTGACACCTTTGGTTGTGAATGTTAATACTTTTTTGCCCTAGCGATAACAGGACGCATTTTCCTTTTGACTCTGAATCGCTTCATCTCAATGGTATAAAATCGTCAAAATATCCCAGCATTGTGTCCTCAGACAAAGATATATCAATAAAAAAGGCTGCTACTTATTTGTGTACCCAAGGATTCTCAATAACGCAGAGTGAAAGGCAAACTGAAACGTTTGCTTGAAGAAAAAAAAAAGGTAACCTTTGGGGCGCTATATAACAATTCTCGCCCATAAGGAAAAGAAAGAGCATAACGACTGCAATTTTAGCTATTGATTTAACAACGCTCGATACCACAGTCGTCGTAGATGGAAAACGAAATATATATGCACCACTCATTTACATCGTGCGACTTGGTAGGAGTGAATAATTGATAATTTAAAACAAAGCACGATAATGAGAGATGAAACATGATGTGTGCAAAATTTATAAGGCCGTTATTCATCATGCTTCAAAAGATTTGTGAAGAACTGTGAGAACAGATATAGCGGTTTTGTAAAAATTCCTGGTTGTATATTTATAATATTTCTTATCATATTTATACGTAATGTATTTATTTCATTTACATTTATATTATTATTAGTTATTTTTATGTAGATAATCCTTAATTCATTCGTTATTCAATTACTTCTATTTCTTAGACACTTAAAATTAGTATAATATTAATTCTCTTATTGTTAAATGATATTTACACTGGCTACTTTTATGATTCTGTTCATGCAGCGGTAATTTAAAAAGCAGCCCAGTAGCATTGGGTGAGCATCGATAATTGAGGTTCACAACAACAAGTTAATATGCACGGGTCTAATTGAATGTTGCGCACCATAAAAACGTAGAAGTAAGTGACTGCATGTTTGCTCGACTGCATGTGAAACTTTTGGTTGTGAATATTAATACGTTTTTTACCCTGGCGATAACCGGAAGCATTTTCCTTTTGACTCTGAACCGTTTCATTTCAATGGTAAGATTGTCAAAATATCCCAGCATATTGTGTCCTGAGATAAAGATACATCAATAAAAAAGGCTGCTACTTTTTTGTGTACCCAAGGATTCTCAATAACGCAGAGTGAAAGAAAAACTGAAACGTTTGCCCGAAGAAAAAAACAGGTAACCTTTGCGGCGCTATCTAAAAATTCTCGCCCATGAGGAAAAAAAAGAGCGCAACGACTGCAATTTTGGCTATCGATTTAACAACGCTGGATACAACAGTCGTCATAGATGGAAAACGAAATATATATGCACCACTCATGCATTTACATCGTGCGACTTGGTAGGAGTGAATAATTGATAATTTAAAATAAAACACGATAATGAGTGATGAAACGTGATGTGTGAAAAATTTATAAGGCTGTTATTCATCATGCTTCAAAAGATTTGTGAAGAACTGTGAGGACAGATATAGTGGTTTTGTAAAAATTCCTGGTTGTATTTATATATTTCTTATCATATTTATATATATTTCTTATTATATTTATATATTTTCAATAGCATTTATCGCATTTACATTTATATTATTATTATATAGTTATATTTATGTAGATAATCCTTAATAAATTGGTTAGTTATTTACTTCTATTTCTTCGACACTTAAAGTTATTATAATATTAATTCTCGTCTTGTTAAATGATATTTACACTGGCTACTTTTATGATTCTGTTCATGCAGCGGTAATTTAAAGAGAAGCACAGTAGCATTGAGTGAGCATCGATAATTGAGGTTAACAACAACAAGTTAATATGCACGGTCTAATTGAATGTTGCGCACCATAAAAACGTACAAGTAAGTGACTGCATGTTTGCTCGACTGCATGTGAAACTTTTGGTTGTGAATATTAATACTTTTTTTTTGCCTTAGCGATAACCGGAAGCATTTTCCTTTTGACTCTGAACCGTTTCATTTCAATGGTAAGATCGTCAAAATATCCCAGCATTGTGTCCTGAGATAAAGATACATCAATAAAAAAGGCTGCTACTTTTTTGTGTACCCAAGGATTCTCAATAACGCAGAGTGAAAGGCAAACTGAAACGTTTGCCCGAAGAAAAAAAGGTAACCTTTGCGGCGCTATCTAAAAATTCTCGCCCATGAGGAAAAAAAAGAGCGCAACGACTGCAATTTTGGCTATCGATTTAACAACGCTGGATACAACAGTCGTCATAGATGGAAAACGAAATATATATGCACCACTCATGCATTTACATCGTGCGACTTGGTAGGAGTGAATAATCGATAATTTAGAACAAAGCACGATAATGAGTGATGAAACGTGATGTGTGAAAAATTTATAAGGCCGTTATTCATCATGTTTCAAAAGATTTGTGCAGAACTGTGAGGACAGATATACTGGATTTGTAAAAACTCCTGGTTGTATATATATAATTATTTCTTATCATATTTATATATATTTCTTATTATATTTATATATTTTCAATAGCATTTATCGCATTTACATTTATATTATTATTATATAGTTATATTTATGTAGATAATCCTTAATAAATGGGTTATTTATTTACTTCTATTCCTTTGACACTTAAAATTAGTATAATATTAATTCTCGTATTGTTAAATGATATTTACACTAGCTACTTTTATGATTCTGTTCATGCAGCGGTAATTTAAAGAGCAGCACAGTTGCATTGCGTGAGCATCGATAATTGAGGTTGACAACAACAAGTTAATATATGCACGGGTCTAAGTGAATGTTGCGCACCATAAAAACGTAGAAGTAAGTGACTGCATGTTTGCTCGACTGCATGTGAAACTTTTGGTTGTGAATATTAATACGTTTTTCTGCCCTAGCGATAACCGGAAGCATTTTCCTTTTGACTCTGAACCGTTTCATTTCAATGGTAAGATCGTCAAAATATCCCAGCATTGTGGCCTAAGATAAAGATACATCAATAAAAAAGGCTGCTACTTTTTTGTGTACCCAAGGATTCTCAATAACGCAGAGTGAAAGAAAAACTGAAACGTTTGCCCGAAGAAAAAAAAGGTAACCTTTGCGGCGCTATCTAAAAATTCTCGCCCATGAGGAAAAAAAAGAGCGCAACGACTGCAATTTTGGCTATCGATTTAACAACGCTGGATACAACAGTCGTCATAGATGGAAAACGAAATATATATGCACCACTCATGCATTTACATCGTGCGACTTGGTAGGAGTGAATAATTGATAATTTAAAACAAAGCACGATAATGAGTGATGAAACATGATGCGTGAAAAATTTATAAGGCCGTTTTTCATCATGCCTCAAAAGATTTGTGAAGAACTGTGAGGACAGATATAGTGGTTTTGTAAAAATTCCTGGTTGTATATATATATTTCTTATATTCATACGTAATGTATTTATTTTATTTACATTTATATTATTATTAGTTATTTTCATGTAGATAATCCTAAATTAATTGGTTATTTATTTACTTCTATTTCTTCGAAACTTAAAATTAGTATAATATTAATTCTCGTATTATTAAATGATATTTACACTGGCTACTTTTATGATTCTGTTCATGCAGCGGTAATTTAAAAAGAAGCACAGTAGCATTGGGTGAGCATCGATAATTGAGGTTCACAACAACAAGTTAATATGCACGGTCTAATTGAATGTTGCGCACCATAAAAACGTAGAAGTAAGTGACTGCATGTTTGCTCGACTGCATGTGAAACTTTTGGTTGTGAATATTAATACGTTTTTTACCCTAGCGATAACCGGAAGCATTTTCCTTTTGACTCTGAACCGTTTCATTTCAATGGTAAGATCGTCAAAATATCCCAGCATTGTGTCCTGAGATAAAGATACATCAATAAAAAAGGCTGCTACTTTTTTGTGTACCCAAGGATTCTAAATAACGCAGAGTGAAAGACAAACTGAAACGTTTGCCCGAAGAAAAAAAAACCTAACCTTTGCGGCGCTATCTAAAAATTCTCGCCCATGAGATAAAAAAAGAGCGCAACGACTGCAATTTTGGCTATCGATTTAACAACGCTGGATACAACAGTCGTCATAGATGGAAAACGAAATATATATGCACTACTCATTTACATCGTGCGATGTTAATCTAAATAGTTAGATCTTTAGCTTGAACTCCGCTTTGATGAATATGCTTTGATGAATACATGATATGATTTGTCAAGGGATGTGTTGGCCGCGTATTCACCAACTGGAAAGTTTAAAATAATGTATATGTAATTACTCTGACTAAGAATAATGTATATCTAATTACTAGTACTGGGATCATGTACATCTAATTAGCTGAAAGTCTGTCAGATTTGGTTAAGGAGATGCAG